TTACTTATAACATTGACCTTTTTAAATGTATAAATAGATTAAATAAAAATCAATATATATAAAAATAATTCTAGATTTGAAAATACACACACTTGTTTTTAATGCTTTTAGTAGTGTTTTGTCAGTTACTTTCTCAAATTTACTGTCAATTGCAGCTAGTTGTGTATGATTTAAGTCTTGAATAAATTCTTATATCTACAACATAAATAAAATATTATATATATTATATATTATATTACAATTAGAAAATATACATAATTATTTTAACAAATTTTCTTTTTTTTACCTAGTTTCACAAAAATGCATAAAGCTTCCAAAATGATGATAACATTTATACAAACAGCTAGATTATGACTGCTTAATATGAATTTAAGAAATTCAATCAGCTTGCGCACTTAAAGAGCTGTTATTTCAAACTCTATAATAGCACTATACATTTATATTAAACTATCAGCTAATGTCTTAGGTGTTTTTGCTTTACATAATAGGTCATATACTATATTTAAAGTTTTATTAGTATTTTAAATATTTATTAATTTAGATACCATAACTACTAACCTTATAAAATTACAAATTGTAAGGATATTTTTTCAGAAAAAGCTGTTAATACGTCTTCTGCATTTTTCTTTAATTTAATGTCACCCAACTTCTCTATCAATACTATAGTAATGAACATAAATATTATATTATATTTTGATAAAAAAAAGTTATGATATAAGATAAATGCATTTTACGTGATATTACTAATGCTACCACTGGTTTTCTAAATGATAGAAACTTTTGACAAAATATCTCTATTATATTAAATGCTTTTGATAAAATATAAAATTAAAAACTTAGGTAACATGTATTATATAATATTAATATTATTTTCCTTTAAGCTTAATATAATATAAATCTGAAAATACCTTTCTTTTTAGCCAGGTTTAATAGAAAGAAATCTGATAAACAATTCTGCTTCTACTTCAAATAAATCTGTCTTTTCTAACATTATTAGAAGATTCTCAAAAGCTATATAAAAATAAAACAGTAAAAATTCTGTATAGTTTCAAAGCAAATAATTTTATTAAATAGCATATCTGATAAATGTAATTTCCAATTCTTTTCACTTAATTCAGTAATCTGATCATTAGAAATTAATTCAGCAAACCTGAACTCAACTTCTTCACTAGTAAACTTGTATTTGATAACTTTTTCTTTTACTTTTTCGTTCTTCTTTATAGAAAGTGAAGCAGAAGCTTTTTTTAGAGGACCTCCTAGTTTTGCTACAAGGGTAGATTTTTCAGCAGCCTTTTTAGTTGCAGATCTCTTCAATATATAAAAGCAGAATGAGTTGAACTATTTTATAATAATATTAAAGAAAGATTAAACTAACTACTCTGAAAATATGATGCACAGTTT